AACATTGTCCAGTGTTCGAAGCTTCGCATAATGCACCGACCGCGTCCACGGAATCCAGGCAATTCGAAAATGTCCCGGTTACCCATTCGGGATTCAAATCGCGCGCACCCGTCGCCGACAAGGGTTCGACTGTTCGGGGTCCTCTCGGCGTCATTACGATTCTCGGCCGGCGTGTACGTGCGCACGGTCGTGTGCCCGCGCGCGTGTGCGCGCCTGTATAGAAATTTCGACGGCACTCGAAGCTGTTGGGAACCGGTTTTGGTTTTGTATTAGCATGTAACTCCGGCAGGAGTTGAAGTTGCGATGGCTTGTGGGTGGCTGGGGGCGAACGTAGGGAGGGTAATTACCTCCTTGGGGAGTGTCCCCGTCCGGCCCCCCCACCGTTTCCCCTCGCGGTGTAGCCGGGTAGAGCCCCAGCACGGGTACAGAGGCTTCCCACTGCTCCCAGTGGTCCCGCGGGAGCGCGCAGCGGCTCTCATCCCGCTGGTTCTCATTCGACCCAAATTGGATTCCGTGCTCTCGCGCGTCCCCGCCCCGCGGTCTCTCTCGGAATTTCTTTCATAAGCTCGGCCGTGCCGCCTCAATTATGCAACGTGTGTCTCCGACACGCGTCACGAGCGTCGTTCCGGGTACACTCGGGTTTTGACGGGATGATTTGCTTTGGCGGTAGACGGTCGATCGAGGGAGCAGGATTCTTGGTTTCGGGAGTGACCGTGGGTCGGTTTGGTGTGTTGATCGTTGAGTTGGAACTCGTGCAGGTTGTGTAATTGGGGCGATTTTTTTTACAGAAGCTGGAAGTTGTGGGGATTAGTTATGGTATTGTTAGTTTCTTGGACTGCTTGCTGTAGTGGATTAGAAGGTATAGTATCTTTGATGAAACGCGATCGTTGAGTTGGAGCTCGTGAAGATTGTATATTTTGGCAATCTCTTTTATTGAGAGAAGTTGTGAAGATTTGTTATGCTATTGTTAGTTACTTGGACTGTTTGCTGTAATGAATTGGAAGGTATGGTATCTTTGACGAAATGAGTATAAAGGAAATTGGAGATTGAAGAAAGGAAATGGTGCTTAGAAGGAAAGTTCGATTGAAGAGTTCTATTTCGAGTTCTAATCAACAGATTAACTCCTTGCAGTCGAAAATTGTTTCTATCCATTGTCTTCTAACGAAGAATTGATTAAACTATTAACTCTATTAAGAAACACACGAAAGAATTAATTAATGTCTAATTACATCAATATCTGCTGAATATTGAATTTCATAATTCCCCTACAAACCAAAATGCCACTGTGACTCATCTCAACTGCAAAGGGTTAACACATTGCGTACCGGTAACGAGAAATCTCGTTTTTATATAAAGACTTAGCTATGCGACTTCGCTAATGACCACAGCATTGAAAAAAATATAAAATTTAATTTAAATTGATTATCTATTTAAAATATACTGCATAACAATATGATATCCGAGTTTTTCTATGTATAGTGATATAAGTTGACCTCAGTGAAAATTGCCATCCATACAATTAAGTTTTCTGAAAATTAGCCGGTACGCAATGTGTCAAGTAGCAAATTCAAACTAACAATAAGAGTAATCCATTTTCGATAGAGTATAAACAGAGAACCAAAGGAGGACTCAAGAAATTCCCCGCAAAATACTTTCCGACCCGAAGAAGTTAAATTGGGTGTATTCGATTCGCGATTCCTAATACGTGGCGCGTGGATGCGCACGCGGCCGTTCGCGTGTGTTCTCGTCCGCGTGCTGGCGAGCGCAGCTAGCCAACACACGCGAGGAAAATGCGATACGGTCTCCCGCGACTAGACCTTCTTGTTCCGTCATTATAAACTCGCTCTCTCCCGGCACCGGTATTCCCCGCTCATATCTAATACGATTGTACTCGCAGCGGTAAACTCGTGCAGCTGCGAACTGCAACTGCAACCGGATGGAGCGTTCGCGGTTCCGAAGGCATCGCGGATGTACGCCGGATTAGCGTTTACACGCGGCGGACCCGGTGTCCGCTCGATCGTGGACGGATCCATCCGGACTGGAGGAGCTTTTCTAATTCTGGCCAGGCTTGATCCCAGT